TGCTCACCTGTAGCCAGAGTTTAACAATAATAAACCTTACGACACCTGACGATAGAGATTATAGCTCTTCCCCTTTGAACATTCCGCTTTATATTACTCACAGGTGACATAAACCATAGAAATTGTTTTATTATTATTATTAACAGTAGTAGTAGTAGTAGTAGTAGTAGTAGTAGTAGTAGTAGTATTGTTGTTGTTGTATTTTTTGTTTTTTTTTTGCATTTGCTACTTCATTTGTCACTTAGTCTTTCCTCAGGTGATCAATGTTTGTTTTGTGTTTTATTGATTGATCCAAAAACATAAGGAAATTGATCAATATATTACGTAAATAAATTGAAGGGTTTTGAGTTTGTGTGAATGTTTCTCCTATTTTGTCTTTCTCTAAAGTTTTCTACACGTGTCTTTTTATTACCCCCCTTCCCTCCTGCCTTCCTACCTCCTTCTTTCCCTCCCTCCCCTCCTTCCTCCCTCCCTCCTTCCTTCACTCCTATACCTGCCCTTTCTTAGCTGTACCCCACTTCACCTCTCATACAGAAGGAAGGACGACATGGAAATAGGGTTAAGGCCGGGTGTAGGTCCTAGATGGCCGGGTGTAGGTCCTAGATGGCCGGGTGTAGGTCCTAGATGGCCGGGTGTAGGTCCTAGATGGCCGGGTGTAGGTCCTAGATGGTCAGTGTAGTCCCAGAAGGCCGGGTGTAGGTCCCAGATGGCCGGGTGTAGGTCCTAGATGGCCGGGCATGGTCCCAGATGGTTTGGGTGTAGGCTGAGATGGTCGGGTGGTCCGAGGGCGGCCGGGTGTAGGTCTGATGGCTGGGTCCCGATACGGGTGTAGGTCCTAGATGGCTGTGAACTGAGATGGCCATGTGGTCCCAGATGGCCGGTGTAGGTCCAGATGGCCGGGTGGTGTAGGTCCTAGATGGCTGGGTGTAGGTCCAGATGGCCGGGTAGGTCCTAGTGTTATGAAATATTATGATGGACGCTAACTATACCACAAGATTAATAAGTTCGAATTGACTATTTTTTTTTAAACTGAACTTTTTATAAATGTATTTACGTTTTATTTACAGTATATATGTGTGATAAACTACACTTATTACATAGGTTACAGAAGTACAGTAAAAGTTAAGTATATCCTGTATGTGTTGTGTGAATAAGTGGTTCCTCCGTAGTGCTCAGTTTACCTGTATTTTAATCAGGTAAGGTAATGAGGAAAACGCTGAGTCTCACCTCTAACAGTTTGGGCATAGGAGGAGTTTCAATTACCCATTCGTGAGGTGAAGTAACCCCCCCCCCCCCCATTAACTACCCTTTGAGTACGTCTATAATCCCATACACCCATTATTTAACCAATCCTTAGTATTCAGTCTATTCGTGTCATTATCCCCCCCTTAATGGGTCCCCCTCCCTTAGTATCATCACTCCTTGGTGAGTTCTTCCCTTTAGTAGGTGTACCCATTATTACGTCATGCCCTAAGCAGGTCCACCCATTACCAAGTCCGGTCTGTCTTAATGGGAACTTAATTACTACAGGAGGGTGTATGTGTTCAGTAACCGGAGCATTTATATGGGGTGAAAATACTTACCTTTAACCATGGTGTATAAAAGAGGAAGGGGAGAGGGGGAGGGAGAGGGGGAGGGAGGGAGAGGGGGAGGGAGGAGGAGGGGTGGGGAGGAGAGGGAAGGGGGTGAGAGGGAAGGTGGGGGAGAGGGAGGGAGTGCTGAGGGGAGTTCATGTCCCTTCCTCTTGCTAGACTGACTTGCACATGGAACTTGACCTCGGTTAACCTAACTTAACCTAACCTAACTTAACCTAACCAGACGTAACCTGATTTAACCTAACCTAACCTCACTTAACCAAACGAATCATCACCTAATCAACCTCCAATCTAATCTTACCTGAGAATAGATTAGATACAATACGAATCCCACCCCATCCCCCATCCCCCCTTGATTTAAACCAATACAAAATTAATTCACTAATATCTAAGACCAACTTCATCTATCATGTTGAGGCTTATCATGTTAGTATCGTTCCTGCCGGGTGAGTTTCTCCGTCCATGGGCATGATCGACTGACAGACAGTTAAACAGTTAAGGTATAGACTGATGGAGGTTAACTGGAATATTTATCTTTAATTGATACTAAGTTACCTGAGGGAAGTACAGGTGGATGTAAATTGAGAGTGATTTACCTTGGTGTGTGTGTGTGTGTGTGTGTGTGTGTGTGTGTGTGTGTGTGTGTGTGTGTGTGTGTGTGTGTGTGTGTGTGTGTCATTATTATTAGTAGTAGTGTCATCATCATCATCATCATCATCATCATCATCATCATTATTAATATCGTTGAAGCAGTACTTTTTTCTGTCTGTGTTTGTCGTGTGATATTAGACTGTTTTAACCACGCCTTACAGACACACACACACACACACACACACACACACACAGCGCCTGATTATCTTACCTGATGACGTAATCTACACAGGTGAAAGCCTACGGAAATAATTTATTACAATGCATCACGTCTTCCGTATCTTGCGTTGCCAATCGTCAATTTCTATTTCTGATTATCCACACAAGCTGAGCCCCCCCCTCCCCCCTTTACTTTCGTTCGTTTGCTATCAGTACCTGCTAGTCGCCAGATGTGTTCGTTATCAGTACCTGCTAGTCGCTAGATGTGTTCGTTATCAGTACCTGCTCGTCGCCAGATGTGTTCGCTATCAGTACCTGCTAGTCGCTAGATGTGTTCGTTATCAGTATCTGTAAGTCAGTCGCCAGCAGAGGTCGTTCACTTCACTTCACTTCACGTTCCAATAGAGTTAACTCGGCCCTTCTCAGTTCTTCCATTCCCGTTCTCCCTCTCTCCTCCCCCTCCTCTCCTTCCCCTCTCCCCTCCTCTCCTTCCCCTCTCCCCCTCAAACGGGTCGATCGTCAGCGTAATTAAGAAGGTGAATATTAATAATGCTGTCCCTTTGTCCCGGTGAGTAGGTGATAGTGAGGGAGGCGAGGTAGGAAAGGTTGCCGCCATCCATCTCTATATATCACTACTTGACCCACGGCGAAGGGAGGCGTTGGGGTCACCACTCAGCACGCCCACGCCCGCGACCTAAAGCCTCCTCCTCTTCCTCCTTCCCCTCCTCCTCTGGCACGTAGGGGATTGTCCACTGCCCAACACTTCCCCTACTTTCTTTGGGGTATACCGAAGAAGGAAAGTGTTCCTCAGTGTTTGGAGGTGTCCTACACTCGACCCACAACGGGGAGTGTCCGTTTCTAGAATGTCCACTTTCCCTTCCCTCACTCCCTATTGCTAATATTCTGTGATGGGGATTTTCTCATGTGCGGGATGACTCTCTCCTCTTCCTCCTCCTCCTGCGGGATGTCTCATACTTAGGGCTTCCCATCTGTGGTTGGGACTCCCAGACTTAGGTGAACGAGACTCTCTTAACCTGAAGTTACTATGGTTAGGTTAGGTTAGGTAGCAATGTTTGTTTGTTTTTTTCTTCCATCATCCTCTACAGGGCGTGTATAGTCTTAGTTACTTAATCACCAACCTTAATGGACTTCCTCAAGGTCTTGTATCGTTGGACTTTCACCCCAGCTTGATAGACTTGATTTTACGTTCATACTTAAGTCCAAAAGTCCACAGAGATGGGCTTTGGGTGGGAGACGATGTGGATTCCTGTACTGAGATTTATACCGTTTGTGCTAATGATGAACAGGTGACTTGAAAGGGTTAAGTCATCGTATTCAAAGGGTTAAGTCATCGTATTCAAGGAATTAATTCTGCTTTTCTTCTTTTTTTTCATACTTGTCTTACTTGCTTCATTCATTCATTCATAACTTTCCCATCGTTCATTTCAGTATTTCATTCACTTCATCGTTTCATTCATCTCTGCTTTTCTTCAGCACTTCAATCATTTCATCAGTTCCTTCACTTCAACACTTCATTCTTGGCCTCTTAACCCCCAGCACTTCATTCATTTCCATCCTGCCTTCCAATCCCATAAAAGAAAAAAACCCTTCCATGCGTGAATGAAATTGAATGTCATCTTTTACATTCGATCATTATTGCTGTCTTTCTTCCCTTCTTTCTTCTTCTCGTGATATTTATTCTTTATTCTCTCCTCTCCCGGTCATTATTGATTTTCCAGGTCAGCTGTTTCTCATTTTTTCTCTTATCATGACTTTAATTCCTTCCCTCATTTATTTAATTTATGTCTCAAGGATTTCAGTATTTTCCTTCTCCTTGCTATCTTATTTATCACCTTTTTTTTAGCTTCGTTTTTACTATTTTTTTTTTTAATATTCGTCACGTGAAAAAAAATTATCGTTGTTATTCTATCCTTTAAAAGTGTATTCGTTAGTTATTCTTTTCAAAACATTTCAAAGTATTATTATTAAAATTGTCAAGTTATTTACCGATTTTTTCCAAATTATTAATAACTTTTTGGCCACAATATTCTTTAATTTGTATCAAAATATTCAATAATATTTTCCTTTATGAATATTAACTATTAATTTTCTTTCTACGAATCTATTTGTTCCTATTTTTCCTTCACCAAGACATAATTTTTATTTTTTTTTTCAATCTGGTTTAGGTTACGTTAGGTTATGTTAGGTTGCAGTTTTATTCAAGACATCTGAATGTATATCTTTTGTTTATATTTATCATAATGAGCTAAAAATTCTATATTTCTTTTCAATTGCATTTTTACCGCGAAATTAATGTGTGTTTTTTGGGGTCAATAAATTTATTTTCTTACCCTATTATTAAATATTTTTCTTTAATTAATTTTTCACCATGTCTTAACATTTACCGTCACCACCACCATTAATCACCACCACCACTCACCACCACCATCACTCACCAATACCACCATACCCAGCTCTCACCACTCATCACCGCCACCAGTCACCACCATCACTCACCACCACCACTCACCACCACCACTCACCACCACCACTCACCACCATCACTCACCACCACCCCTTCTCTCTCTCCTACAGACCTTTGGCTATGAAGAGATCGTCCAGCCTGTGTCTCTGATCGGCACCGACCTCAGGGCACCAGCAGGCACCTCACCTAACTCCCAGAGACCCACCCGACCCTGGCATGACTTCACCAGGCACTCGGAGGGAGACAAGATCCAGATTCCCAAGATGTAAGTTAACCTTAGCTGTGTTTGGGGTCACCTGAGCTGTGTTTGGGGTCACCTGAGCTGTGTTTGGGGTCACCTGAGCTGTGTTTGGGGTCACCTGAGCTGTGTTTGGGGTCACCTGAGCTGTGTTTGGGGTCACCTGAGCTGTGTTTGGGGTCACCTGAGCTGTGTTTGGGGTCACCTGAGCTGTGTTTGGGGTCACCTGAGCTGTGTTTGGGGTCACCTGAGCTGTGTTTGGGGTCACATGAGCTGTGTTTAGGGTCACCTGGGCTGTTTAGGAAGATAATTTAACACTGATTTAAAACATTTCGAAACAGATACACATATAGAGGAATTAAAAGGTGTATATGTGTTTATTTAAATATAGAAATGTATATGTGATGTTTATATAATCACATAATATTATATAAACTATAAATGGGTCATCATGATATATAGAAAGTTAGTTAATATATCACCTCTTGGCTATATTTTGGAATGTTTAATATTAGCCCCAAAATATAACCTACATTGAAACATTTAGCCATAGATTTTTATAGAAATATTATTAGTGATGGTGTACCTTATAGAGGGATTTAAAACTATAGGTTCCTAGTTATAGTTAAAAGGTTAAAGTTATAGGATGATAGTTGTATTAAATAGTATAGTACACAGTATAAATTCTGGATTCACAAAGATCACTTACGTTAATTTTTTTCCAATAATCTTAAGTTTATTTTTCACCTTAAGTTACCTTTAATTTTCTACCTGTAATTACGGGGAAAAAATCACTATGAACCTTTGAGAATCCAGGTATTTGCATGATACTTGAGGAATAGAAATATTTGCTTATGTTACACGATAAGAAGCGCATGGGAGTACCAGACGCATGCGCTCGTGGTTTGTTATAAGAAGCATAGGAGAAATTAGCTTGAAATGTTACGTCAGATTGTGGTGCGTCATCTTACCTATCACACACACACACACACACACACACACACACACACACACACACGTCAAATTTAACTCATAGGTAAAATTTAAATAACTAAGGCATATCTATAAAATATACCACAATTTAACCTTAAGTAACACCTAAGCAAGATTCACTTAACTAGTATATAAAGAAATATAAATTACTCATGTGCTTAACTTCAGTAATTTCTAAGTCACTTTTCGTCAACTTATTATATGTGAGGCTCCACTGATATAGTACTGTTATATCTTTCATCACATTTAAGTAATTTCTAAGTAATATAAACAATGCATATTTCATTTAAGTAATTGGTATGGAATATCAAGGTTATATATTAAGTAAATCCTAAGTAAGGTTTAAGTAACTTGCATATGAAGTACCACATAGTTGATTTAAGTACTATTTATATTGCACCACAGATTTAAGTAAGTGCTGTGGAATTCTATCACAGATTTAAGTAAGTACTCTAAAATTTACGACAGATTTAAGTCAATGTTGTAAAATTTATCACAGATTTAAGCAAGTACTCTAAAATTTACGTCAGATTTAAGAAAGTACTATGAAATTGACCACATAGTTAAGCAAGAACTGTAGTAAGCATGATAGGTTATATACGAGTACTATAGTAGGGAGAACTTATGTATTATGTGCTGTGTGTTGAGAATTTTCCTGTGTAATGACCAAACGTGCCAGAGCGGTCGAGCTCATCTCCTCACAGTGTGTTCTCCTGTTTCCCCAGACATACAGAAGACGACAAGATACACATTCCCAAGATGTGAGTAGCCACACCTCCCTCTCACCTCTCTCTCTCTTATGTTGAGCTAACACCGTGTTCTGATGTGCTAACACTGTTCTGATGTGCTAACTCAGTGGTTTAATATGCTAACACCGTGTTCTGATGTGCTAACACCATGTTCTGATGTGCTAATACCATGTTCTGATGTGCTAACACCATTCTGATGTGCTAATACCGTGTTCTAATGTTCTAACACAGTCTAACACTCTAACACTTTGAACGAACACATTTTTTTTTCGATTCTACCAAGTGATTGTAAATGTTCTTCCCGACTTTCAACTTATATTACAAAAACAAATTAAACAAAACTACAGCTAAGAACAAGATGAACTCAATAGCTTTTATTTTCAAGCTTCACTCGTTCAGTATGAGCGTCTCCTTTAGCTGTACAGACATCAAAGTGGTATTCAGTTCCCTCTTTATACGAGTATTTTGTTCCCTCTTTATACGAGTATTTTGTTCCCCTGTATATTTTGTTCCCCTGTATATATTTGTTCCATTCTATAAATTTTGTTCCTCCCCCGTATATTCAGTTCCATCTGTTATTTTGTTCTCCAGATATACCAAAGATAAATGATATAATAACATTGGTGGAATAAAAACATCAATTTTAACCTAACCAGAGGAAATATTACCCATGTTAATTTTTTTTCCCATTATAATTGCCTAAAATCGGGATGATCCGTAACGCACTTCTCTCTATACACACACTCTACCATACTCTAACCATGTCTCCTTAACACACTCTTATTCTACCTGGTTTACTTCTACCATTCCTACTCTGAATTGATGATGATTAATGTTGCATGTTGAGGTAATTTTGTTTCTTCCCTAGTAGTTGATGATTGGCTATGTGCATGTTGCTTTTGTATACAGGTAAGATGTTTCTAATTAGTATTTGCTTGCTTGTGTTATTCGCCTTTGCATGATTAATTTAAATTGTCTGTGTTATTGATATTGTTGTTGTTTTGCATGATTAATTTAAAACTGTATTCTTGTGTTTGTTATTATTGTTGTTATTTATTGGTGTATTGTGGAAAGGATTATTTAAGGTTTGTATTTGTTTTATTTGTTTTATACAATTGCCTCATACACCTGGAAATAAATACCTGTTCTGGTTTTATGTATATTGTATTGTCTCTCTGTGGGTATGTGTGTTTGAGTGTATTTTCCAGATTTATAACACCTACTCTCTCTAAATGATTGAAATAGACGTGATATTTAGGAAGAACAATTACCATTTGGCTACGAATTATTTTTTTTCTTCACTCGAGAAATATTATTTTGTTATAATCATTAAAATATAACGTTAATGAAGTTAAACCTCAAGAAATGCTAAACGTCACTCAGGTGTATTGCAATATATGTAAATTAATTAGTTAAGGTAAAATTTATTGGTTAAGGTAAAGAACGATAAGTATTAACTACATAACCTTTACTACATAACAAACGAAAATAACTAAGTACTGTGTTGGATTACGTGAGAGATCGACCTCTTGTGAAGCAATCAACGAAACGCTCTTTGAAACATAGGAAGCGAGAATGAATCAGACGAAATACCTCTGAAGCTTTCGACTATTGCGACTCATAATTCCAACCCAGGTGAGGTCATATAAAATTTTTCACCTTTTAGATAATTTGGGGAAACAGATTAATAAGGTAACCATATTTTTTTTAAAGATCTAGAATAACAGGTGATTCATTTCCCCAACAGGTAAAAAGATTCTAATTAATGGTTCAATGGTTCATGTCCAGGTGATTGATATTAAGACGGTGTTTATCTTCCGAAGTGTCAAAACAAACGACAACCTTATTTAAATTATTCATCATAAAACTAAGTTCCCTAAAGGTCAATTCTCCACAGAAATTTGACAAATATATATAAAAAAAAAGACTCGTATATATGTTGTCTACTTTCTCTTGAGTTTAACGATGTTGCAAGATTGAATAAAAATTGAAAATTATTGCCAGATCCCTTGATAGGTTTCACTTATAGCAGAAATGTGTTTAAGGTTTGGTTTGGTATCGAATTGGTAGTACTGTCCAGTGTTTGTCTCTCTCTCTCTCTCTCTCTCTCTCTCTCTCTCTCTCTCTCTCTCTCTCTCTCTCTCTCTCTCTTAGTACATGTATTAGATAAGACTCTCAATTAACCGATTTATTTCCGAATATCCTCAGGAAAATTATGCATCGTTTCGGATTCGTCTTACGGAATCATTCATGGGTAACGTTAATAAAATAAGAATATTTGTTCGATTATTTTTTTTAATGTTTCGTTGTAAAAGTTGTCGACGTAATGATCACTTGATGAAAGATAAATTATGAATATTATGTTTGTAAAATATTAAAAGAGAGATGGTGAGCTTAAACTATACTCCTGTGGCCTCTGTTATCTAATTACTGTATGATAACTAGTGATTAATGTGTAGAGGACTTGATTTAATAACTTCTCATCTCTTATTCATACGTTATATAATATAGCCACTACCATGATTGTTATCTTTCTACATAATATATAACCACTACCACACTTGTTATCGTTCTACATAATATAACCACACTTGTTATCTTTCTACATAATATAACCACACTTGTTATCTGTTATTACAAGTATTTTTTACATTTAGAATGATAATGGAATGTTCTCATTGACCACACATCATAATGCACTTTCTTTATCCCTCATTTGAGATGAATTAACTCGTAAGACATTGTACGATGCAGGTTCAGTCAAATTCCATCTGAGGCAGAATTCCTATTTGGGACTTTTGGTGCAATGAGACTCTCTAAGACGGTCAATATGTAATGAAACTTTCCCTAACACGTTCACTATCCAACGAGACTGTCTCTAAAACGAACAATCACGTCTCAAAAATTTGCCATCGAGTCTCGGGACCAAATTATGAAAACATTTAAAAGAAAAAGAAAAAATTTTACAATTATCTTCATCACTCGTAACGCCACCACCCTGAAAGGTTCTACTTAAACATCCAAAAACTGGGAAACAAAAACAGATTGAACGCATCATTGAATATTCTAACAAATGAATGAGATTTTTAATTAAACATTGACCGTGTGTGTGTATGTGTGTGTGTGTGTGTGTGTGTGTGTGTGTGTGTGTGTGTGTGTAGGTCATCACTGGCCCCCCTCAGGTGCCACTATCAGTTGACTTGGAGTATAAAAAAAAACCCATTGCGTTACGGTCTCTGTCTCGAGTAAAAACCGACTTGAACCTGTCCAGATTCCTGGTTAGACTTGCAATGTAGAATCTGTTGTCTGTTAACGGTATTGATGGACTCATGATGTAGAATCTGGTGTCTCTTAACGGTATTGTTGGACTCAGTGCAATGAACGTCCAATAATCAGCTGTAAACATCAAATATTCAGCTGTGAACGTTCATTAATCAGCTGTGAACCTTCAATAAATAACCTGGAACGTCCTATAATCAGTTCTGAACGCCCAATAATACAATCCGCTGTAAACATCGAATTATCAGCTGTAAACATCGAATTATCAGCTGTAAACATCAAATAATCAGCTGTAAACATCGAATAATCAGCTGTGAACGTCCAATAATTAACTGTGAACGTTCAGTAATCATCTGTGAACGTCCAGTAATCATTTGTGAACGTCCAGTAATCAGCTGTGAACGGACGAACGAACGGAGGACACCCCAATACTGTGTAAATTTTCTTACAGTCTACTGCCATTCTGGAGGCTGGAGACACACCTACCAAAACTCCTCCTTTAATCAAGATTTATCGTAGTGTAACCGAGGTGCGGATCAAAGCTGCCCGCCAGGTAGATCTCTCTCTCTCTCTCTCTCTCTCTCTCTCTCTCTCTCAGTAAGGAAGAGAAGGTGGCATAGTGTTTATTGAGACATGAATGTAGGGAGAAACCGCATTATAAGAGGCCCCAGTCTTTATAGGCCCCAATCCTAATTAGGCCCCCAGTCCAGAGATGGAAATAAAATCTAATCTCTTTATGACTCACTGACTCACAGAGTAAATTAAATCATGATCTGGTCAATGACTCTTCTGACTCAGCCATAGTAGTCAGTCACTCAGCATTTCATCCTAGGTGTGTACACTCGCCCCGCCACGTGACGTAGCGACTGTGTACGTAATGTCTCACACAGGGTGACTTCTTGTTACCTAACCAGACCTTTATGGTAAATGGAGGAGAGGGGACGGGAGGGGAGGGGAAGGGAAAGGGGGGGGATAGGAAGGGGGAATGAAAGAGATCAGGGAAGCGGAGGAGAAATAATAATAATAATAACAACAACAACAACAACAACAACAACAACAACAACAATAATAATAATAATGACGATGATGATGATAACAGCGAATAATAATAATAATGACGACACTAATAGTACTCATATTAGATACAATAATAATTTTCACCCCCATACCTGCCATTTGTCATTGACTGAAATGAATTTTTACGAGTATTGGAATTTTTTTTGTTTTTCAAGCACATCCCTTAGTCAAGCTGCCATGTATACAATCACTGCAGCACTAAAGCAGCTATGACTACTTCTGATTATCCAGTCCCTTATTTGGGGTTTTGTTTACATCATCAAAAAGATAAACAATACGAGAAAAATGGTCTTTGATATTCAGTGAACTGGTTTGTTTGTTTTGTTTTCAAGATAAACAAAATAAAAGCTCGTGATGTATATAGTTGCTTGTACTCTGTTTTGTTTCGTAATTGAAATATTTGTTTGTTCCCTTGTTTGTTTGTTTGTATTTTCAAGGTGAACAAAAACAGAAGCGTTGGTAGTTGATGACTGTGTTTACATTCTCTCAAGATGAAGGTGAACCACAACACAACCCCCTCAGCTGCTGTCTGGCGGCGTCCCTAAGACACATTAAAAATTCATGATCAGGAATTCCACCGAAAGAATGAGCGAAACTTGATTCTGTTTTTATAACTCGGCGAACACAGTAAAAAAAAAAATCTCTCCCTACCAAAA